CCCTTCCCTCCAGCGTATCAACCGAGCAAAATACTTGTATTTGAGTTTATATGAAGGCTTCTGTTTCCTTGAACTATAAACAGTTTATGGAATATTTATATTCATTGACTAAAATGTTCTCCTAACTTCTGTCACTCTTAACACAGTATATCCTGTCTTGTAATCTAGGTAATATCGCTGGTGCAGTTACTCAGTGATCCCTTCTATAGGACACTTGAAGGCTTTCGAATGCTGGTGGAAAAAGAATGGCTCTCTTTTGGTCATAAATTCAGTCAACGTAGTAATCTGACTCTCAATTGTCAAGGTAGTGGATTTGCTCCTGTTTTCTTACAGTTCTTGGACTGTGTGCATCAGGTAAGTCAATCTGTAATTTTAGTTTACAAGAAGAATTAATAAATAAGTGCATAGATGCCTCTATTTCAGATGTTGTAGCTAGTGGTTTGAGAGAATACTAGCAGCCTCCTTCTCTAGGTTTTATTGAAGTGAATGAATTTCACCTCATGAAGAGCTGGAATGGTTGCCTAGAGAGTGCTGATCCACCCACAGAAAACAGACCAAAAGGGATGGTTGGCATTACAGATCTTCTCAGGTCATTTATGCAGATTTCAAATGGATTTTTAAGATTAAGACTGGCTTTTGGCAGCCTGGGGTACCTTTATTCAAAAGAAGAAATTGACTGACTGTTGGCACAGTGACTAGACAGTTTTTAATTCCTTGTGCTTGACAATGAGTTTTGAAGAGGCCTTGTTCTCCATCAGTTCTGGAAAAAACAACCTATAAACCAGGGGGTCTTGAGATGTTCATATTTTCATATATATATTGCATGTTCAAAAGGTGAACACCAGCAGTTACATTGAGTAGGAAGACGTTAGATTGAGAATATTACACTCATTTCAGGTTAATTCTAAAGTCTGTCCTTTTCTTCATCTCAAACCAGTAAATCTAAATGCTTTGTGGACATTAAACACCAGCAACCATCATTATTGTTGTCTTGCAAGTTAATAAACCGTATTTTTGGAATTTGGTTTGATTCCTATAGCTTTCCCCACTAGAAAACTGTAGAAGTATGTGTCTGTTTCACCAATCTATTTCTCAATGGCCGTGTTCCTAAGGTTATTTTTTATTTTAAATGGGGAGATTTCTCTAAAGAGAATGAGTACTGCATTTTTCATTTGAACAAGTTAATCTGCCCAGTTGTCCCCCTGACTAATCCTTAGAACAGCTTAAGGTTATTGCTCCTTTTCTGGAGTAGAAAAAACAGATTCTTGGTTGCAGTGGCTGCAACAGGACAGAATAGCCACATCTTCCAATCCTGAAACACATCTGCTTGGTGGCTCTATGTGTGAATTGTTTGTCTGGTGCTGTATTCTGTCTGCTGTTAGATGTCTTCTCCAAGCTTTAATGGGCTGACTGGATAACACTGTCTACTAGTAGAAAGGAGTAGACCTATGTATAGTTTCAAGCAGTAGTGTAATTTTGAAGTAAATCCCTCCAGCATCTCCCCTTACCATATGTTGATGCTGTTTTGGTGCATATGTACTAGATTTTTCTTAGAAGGGTTTAACCCCAAAGTTCTGCTTCTGGTATGTACTAAATATTCACCATCTCTTGAAAGATAATTCATCACTTAGCTTGAAACTATGGGGGTCATCAATTCAACCAGACTGAATCTGGTCCAACGTAAAACAACAAATACGTAGTAGAGCTGCAAGGACCTCAGCACCAGCTGCTTCAGTCTGTTTACTCCTTTTGCTCCAAATTACTTGCTTATGTAGATACAGCCTATATCCTGTTTCTCACCCTGGAAACACTTTGCTTCAGTTTTACTGTAATAAATCTTAGAAAGTTGGCATAAAGAAAAGCAAGGAAATTATCCACGCATACCTGTAGAGTAATTTTTTTCTCAGGTCAAGAGGTCACACAAACTTTGGAAACAAATAGGTTATTCAGAACAAAGATAAAACTTAAATTCAGGATTTTGGTTTATTGTCATAAATCAGAATGTACCATGTTTTCTTCAAGACAAAATACTTGATATTTCTTTAAGTCACGTTTAACACAATCTGCAGTTCTAAGAACATGGAATAATAGATTATAATCACCCTATCTTTAACAGTTAGAATGAAATGTAAAGTGGAATAAATCCCTGCTGTCAAGTATGATTTTGCCTCAAGCTGCAAGGTGCCCAAAATATTGCTACTATAGATGTGAATGTGTTAAGGAAATAAAAGAAAGTTGCCTTGGTAATTCATCTCAGCAGCTTTAAGGCATGTCACTAGGTATCTGACTCTGTATCTTCTATATAAAATATACGTTATTAACAGATACATTTTACAGAAAGATCTTTATTTTCTGGTTTTTGGTCTTAAGCTGTGGCCACCTGCCCTGGCTGCAGCTCCATTAGCAGAAGGATTGCCTCCTGCAGGCCATCTGGAGCTATTCATCACTTCTTTGCTGGTGGAGATCCTACCCTTCTGATCTGTTAGCAAAGGCATTCATGTGAACCTGCCTGCCATTTCCTATCAAAATAGTAGAAAAATAGTGATAGAGAAGGCCATGTTATTTTGATGGGTGTCAGTTTAGAAGCAGTTCAGCACATCAATCTGAAGGAGGCAGTAACTTCTCATGAGGAAAGATAGGGCTGTCTAGGAGTTACAATCTTTTCAGCCAATGTTATGTTCAGCCAAGAAAGGGCATGGGTACACGGCTTTACTGCATAATCGGTGTAATGTATATAATATAGACTTGTTTGTTAGGAAAAATCTTTAAGCTAAATGACTTACAATCCTGTTTAGAAATGGACTTACAAATGTTAGTCTCCTAACTCATGATAGCATAGTATTTACGTACCAAATTCTAACAGTATGGTTGTAAACTCTAGGGAAGACTTTTGAGATAAAATTAATGGACGAAGTTTCATAGGAATTTACTGTGAAAAATAAATTTACTGAAGATACTTGAACATTTCTATTAAATTTCATTGGCTTCTGTGCAACTTATTAGACAACTACAGAATAAAATTAGATTGCAACTTGACCCTGAAGTGTAATATATTATGATCAAGATTTTTAAAATCACCCATTCACCAGAAATAAACATTTGGTCCTTTCAAAATATTTTTAACCGTTACAGTCTCAACATACTAGGTTCAGTAAGAAAGTTGCCATAGAGCCAGTATGTGCATTAAATGTCATGGGTTAAACTAAAGACACAGAGAAAACAAATGAAGCAGTAATTCCTGAATTAGAACTGCATCATCATGTAAAAAGTCATTGTTTATGCCAATATCTGCAGGTGTCAGCTGAATTATTAGTGCAGAATCATTCTTTCACCATAGAAGCATCTGGCAGATCCTCTGTTTCTAAGACAACTGAGTTTATGCATGTGATGTCACTGCAGGAAGCTTTGCTTATTTTTCTTCTGTATCTATGTGGTAATTCATTGCATATAATTGAAGTGGAATGATTTTCTAGAACTGACTTCTTTTAAGCTCAATAAGGAGCTCTGTTACAGCACCCTATGCAAAGGGAGGTAAGGATGCTACTCCCATGGTTGATGTATTCAGTTATTCCAGTGTTTGCAGGAGTACCCTCTTAATGATTACTAGCACAGGATATTTTGGAGTGCCATATTTCTTACTTCAACTAAATACATATTGATATCTAACAGGATTACAAAACCAAAATGTATTGGAAAACCAAGGCAGGCTGGTAGTAGTGTAAGACTATTAAATACATTTAGGAGATATTTAAGTTAATTGAGAACATGTAGATTTGAAAAAGAATTCTAAAATAATGACTTTCTCTAATCATAATATTAAAAGCACCTGTTGGTTTACTCAGGTTGTAATTGTTCATATCTTATGGAGATTAAGCATTTTAAAAGATGATGCAGTTGTAATTTTCAAAGATAACCCATCCCTGTAGGCTTACCTTTCTAGGTGGTATATGTTGAAATTGTCAAGTATAAAACATTGCTTCTAACTTACATGTAAATTTTGAGTATATCCCTTAAAATCAGTGAATTAACTGAAACGGCACTAAAGACTTATCAGAGAGAAACCAGCTATACTTAACTTCAACTTAGGTGGTTATGTTGCCTACAGTATAGATGTATTTATTGTCAGCATCCACAGGGGATTTATTTTGCTGTCATATTTCACATTATTATTTCTCACACATCTGTTTCTGTTATACCTCAATATCCTCTTTTTTCCTTCTTTTTTTTTTCTTTTTTTTTTTTTTTCAGATTCATAACCAATACCCAACAGAGTTTGAGTTCAATCAATATTATCTGAAGTTTCTGGCTTTTCATCACATATCAAATCGATTTAAAACATTTCTTCTGGATTCAGATTACGAAAGACTAGAACATGGTATGTGTGATGTTTGTTTACTGCATATTGGTTTCATAGTTGTCAGTATTCTTATTGTCAATATTTGGTCTACAAATTTGCCTAGTTTGAGATAGTCCAATAATTGCATGGTGATGATGTAATGAATTCCATTTGAGGAACATAAATGAAAATTACGGGGAAGAATATGTAGAATTTTCTTAATGAATGATTCCTGAGCCATGCCATTGATGGGACTAAGAGAAAGTAGAAGACATTAGTGCCATACGTCCAGGTTTTTTAGCAATTTATCCACGTGGTTCAGTTTACCCTACTAAATACCTCATTTTAACAGAAAAACAAAGTCCTTGGGAATCTTCAGAGGGTGCATGAGGTTTCAGGAGAGGAAAGCCTTCCCATCTGTTCTCTCTCACTTCTTTCTCTTGCGTTCTTTCAGTGTTCCTTTTCTATTTCCTTTTACTCCATCTGTCATGTGCAGCCTTACTGGTTCCAAGGTCTTATCTGCTGTCAGTGCCCTCTTAATGAGACCACACAACCACAGTTAAGGCTTTTCTTGGAACTTGTTCACTGAGCAAAACACTTACGTGCTCTGAATTGCACTGCTTCGTGGGGTGGTTCTCATGGCATACAGTCAATTTGAATGCTTCTCTTAAGAACTGTAGTAACTGTGCAACAGGCTGAACTTGAGCAACCATTTTATTTCAACAAAAAAGTTAATTTCTATTATATGTCTTCATTTGAACAAAAGCAAGAAGCTGGAGTCAATGACCTCTGTGGTTCCTTCCAACCTGGATTGTTAAGTGGTTCTACAAGGAGGGAGAAGGGTTAGGCGGAAGAAGGTATTAGTTTATTTAGGGGTAATTTGCTTTCAAATACCATTTAATGCAATATAAAGTCCTGTTGCAGCAGATTTTGGATAACCTGTGTGTCCTTTCAAAGTAATTTCAGATAGCACAAATATATGACTAACATATTTATTTACAGTAGCCTAATTTGTTTTCCCTGAAATGAGTTAGCAAGTAACTCATTTTAGGGAAATGAGTTACTTGCAGGTACATGGTGCAGCTGGTGCAGCAGATTAGAAGGGCTGGTCACCTCAGGTAGTGGGGGGCAGAGTCAGTTAGCAAGGCCTGGTGGTCTGCTTAGTCAGCATAGCTGCAAGCAGAAAGGGACATTCGTAAATGCACTCAAGTATTTCTGTAAATTTCAGATCAGGTTTATAAATATAATGCTACTGAATAGTTACAATTGCAAACCACAGAAGTTATTTCATCAAATACAATCTCTTGTTGCAGTGGCATTCAATAGTAGATTTAGTCTGTGGAATTCCTTTTATCAATGCTTTAGTGTTTGTTATGTATTACCATAAAGCTATCTTGTTGCTGCTGTTTCTTTCTCTAGGGACATTATTTGAAGATAAAGGAGATAAACATGCCAAAAAAGGAATTTGTATTTGGGAATGTATTGAAAAGATGCACAAAAGGAGCCCTATTTTCTTCAATTACCTCTATGCCCCTGCTGAAATAGAGGTATGATTTTTTAAAAAACAGACAGGTGGTTTGTTATTCTGAGTGATTCCTTGAGTACATTTTGATATCTTGATTGTTCTCAACTGAATTAAGCATTTGATGAACAGTTGACCCAGGCCCACACTGATTGATTGGATCAGTGTCTCTTAGGCTTAGTTATGGAAATGTCATTTGAAGAGCCACATTCTGGAATATGTATTTATGCATCTCACTGAGGTAAATGAGGATCTTTCTTTTATTTTGTCTAATTATATGAATGATTATAAAAATGATCTTAAAGTTTGCACAGATTGTTAAAAAAATAAATTACATGCTGTAAGATGTAATTATGAGGAAATGAGTTTAGAGTGATAATGAGATACATTTCATAATGATCTGATTGAATCACATTATCTATATCACTGTCTCATATGATAATATATATTCACTAGATTTGACTGTGTCTTGAATAATTACATAAAATTCACAATACACTTGCCATTGCAGAATAGTGCAATAGCCAGGGAAGCAGTCAAGATATCTCAAGAACTGCAAGAAAAAGGTCTGTTCTTACTGTAGTTCAGGAGTCAAGGCTGTTTTTAAGATACTCCTACCATCCCACTGCCCCACATGTGTTTATTCCTGTGCTGTTCTCTCCTGCTTTGGCAGTGAGCTTCATCCTGATAAATCATTGTTTGAACATCTGTCCGCTGCTGGTGACCAGAAAACATAATGACAGGACAGTCTCCACTGTCTTGGAGGCCAGGGCACCACTGATATTTTTGTTGGTGTTTCTTGGTTTTCCTTTTTCCTCGAGTTGTTTTACCACATTGTATTCTAGCACACATAGCACCTTGCATTCGAATCTGCTATATAAACTGACCTAATTTTGAAAAAGGGGAAAGAATTATTTCCTTTAAAATATTTTGAGTCTGCATCAGATCATAATTGCAGTCAAAGGTGCTGCTCCCTTCAACCCACCCAAACACACCACACACACATGCACTTATACGTACCTAATAAGTGGTAGTGCAAGAGGAAGGAGGGAGAAAACAAGAGGGTGGTATTCAGTGGATAGAAAGTGCTACAGGTATCTTTGTTTTAGAGAAACATCTATTTTCTCTGTAGAACCCTCACTGTGATGAATTTGGAGCTTGAATGACTGCCAGTTCGCTGTATGTTCTATTCATAACATAGCCTAATGAGTAAGCAATCAGGAGTAGCTTTCGATATTTTGATAGTGTTTTCTTTATCTTTTTTAAAAGAAACTTTTTCCTCAGATGAAATGCTGACATGGTAGCAGAATTAGTCATAATAGCAGAATTAGTCATTATGACTAAGCATCACTCTTTAGACTTTAACCTTGCCCTTTCACCTGACATAGTAACACCCTTCAAGTAAGGTGGATGCAAACTGAATATCTTACCCTATTTTTTTAAAGGAAAAAGCAAACAACAACAAGAAAATATTTAATACAAAGTGCTCTGTTTTAAACTACTCTGAAAGATCTGCAGTCTCTGGCTGACTTCTTACTGTGGTTTTTCCAAGTAGCATGTCCACCTACGTTACATAGCCTGTGTCCTTTCTCTCATGGTAGAGACTTGGATTTTCTGCTGAGAAACACTGAAGGGTGTAGTATTAGTTTTAGGGTTTGATCTGACTGAGCCAAGTGGAAGTTACCAAACTGCAGCACTACTCACCAAGTGCCATACACTGTTCAATTTAGAATTATTAGACAAATATAAGCAACGTATTGTGAATCTGAAACTCGAAGACTTCCTTTCTGTCATTATAACACCACTTTCTTTCAAATAGGCACTGAAACCAAATGTAAATATGTCCAGCCTCAAAAAGTGGGATTATTATGTGGAAGAGATTTTGGCTACAGGTCCTTCCTATGATTGGACCATGGTAACTGCCAAATGCAATGTTTCAGAGGAAACTGACCAAACAGATGGTTCACTCTCTCAAACTAAGAGGAAAATAGTATGGCCATGTTATGATGATGTTAAAAAAATACAGCCTGATGCCATCAGCAGCCTTTTAAATGTAAGTACATGCGTTACACAGAGCAATAAATTCTTTTATGCTCATGAAATTAATATATATACTTTTTACTTGCCTTATGGATGTGGTGGATAAAATCTCAGGTGGTGCAAGAAATGGGGAAGGTGAAACATTACTGCCCTCTCCCCTCACCTGATGTTGTGACACTGGAGGTCTAACAGACCTCAGAGAGAACTGGCTGATCACTTGCAGCAACTGCTACAAGAGGATTTACAGTGGGTTTCTTCCTTCAGGAAGGCTCATGTTGTCTGTGACAAATTCAGTTGGTGCAACTGCTGTTGCAAGAAATAAGCGACAGACAGACTAATTCCTGAAAGATGACATGTGTAGAAGGAGGAGAAAGCCTTTTGTACAGGGATTTTGCTGCATAATTGAGTTCACACAGCTGTGCCAGTAAAGCCAATATACAGAATTCCTGACCAGCTCTCACAAGTAGTGTTTGGAGCATTCTGAGTAGCTATGTCCAGTACCAGCAGAAGGGAAATATGTTGGTGTTGTTGTTAGAAATAAAGTTGTCATTGAACTTACGTAGGATGACATTAAAAAGGATCCTACAAGACACATGCAAATAACTAACTGGAGCCTTCTGTACAGAGACTTTCTTCTAGATATGAAAAATGGCTCTATTCAAGGCTCACCATAGGGTACATTAAACCTGTCTGAGCAACCAGGTAAGGTTGTGAGTTAACTCAGCAGAAAAAATGTGTTTCTAATAATAGGAGGGAAATGAGCATCAGCGTACTAGAATTGTTGTTACTAGAGATTAAAACTGAGTCTCTCCTGTACCACCACAGCTTCTTGCTTTGGAGCTTGGGGCTGAAGAATGCTGCAAGAAAACTGGAAGGTGTCAGTTCTAAGTGTTAGTACTTACTGAGTGTAGCTGCTGCTGTAGGGTACCTAGAGCCCACAAGGCTTGATTTGAAGTGTTCAAGAACCATGTAGATGAGGCCCTCAGCGACATGGTTTAGTGGTGGTCTTGGCAGTGCTGTGGTAATGGGTAGACTTGATGATCTTAAAGGTCTTTTCCAACCTAGTTGATTCTGTGATTTAAGTTAATGCGTTATAGATATACTGTTATTAAAAGGATCGTGATAGATGTGAAAACAGGTGTTTAGTAAAACTGACTGAGTGATGTTGAGAAGTGATGGTTGGTCTGGGAATCAATCAGACTTCCTACAAAGCTTATGTTATTCTGAATGAACACTTTTCTGGGAGTACACTTTAACAGGAGTTAATAACAGTAATTTAATAACTATGAGAAAGCCAGTCAGGGATTCATTTTGTCTTTTTTTAATAGTAAGTTATGTAGCATAATAAATTTTTAGGTTGCCTTTTATAAGAAATGCAGGAACTGTTATTTTAACTTGGGCAAATGTGGAATCTAGCTTTCTTTTCTTCTTTCTACTCAGTTTAAAGTAGGCGTGTCGTAAAATGACAAAGACATAGATTTCTAGACAGATTAGATAACAAAATATGACACTAGTTGATTTTAACAAGTGTAAGGCAAATAGACAAACATAAATTGAACATCTTGGCCCAAATTTCTCAAAAAAGCTTTCTGTGATTGCTCTCAGTTTATTCATGCTTCCTAGGACCAAAATGGTAAATTTCGATTCTTTAGAATATTTTGGTACTTGAACTATATGCATGATTTTAGCTTTTTCTTGTTCCAGCTTATGTATGCTGCTTAGGTTTTGTGGTTTCTTCATTAGAAGATTAAAAAGAATCCTATTATTGTGATAATTGTTGTAGTTGATTTAACATCTGTATTTTCTTAAATGTTTATTAGTTGATTATAATTAATTAATTGATTGATAGTGCAGGAAAATGACAAAGGCATCATTCACTTCCTGGAGCTATTGTTTCAAGCCACCTGCATATTGAGATACAGGTCACTATGTGCAGTTTTTCCCTTTGAAATCTGTTTGCAGACTTTACCTTCTATTAAAGCTGGGATTACAGGGGCTAATACTGCAATGCTTGGAAAGTTGGGATATGCTGGAGGTTCCCAAACTCCCCTGAATCAAAGATGATATTTAGCAAACTTTTAAGGCAGGAAGTTTCTGAATGGATTTGAGTCCTTGAGGATAGACTTGCTTTTGCTAGAGAGTTAGCTTTATTCTGGCACATTCCTCAAATTTCTTTTGTTCCATTCATTCCAATCATAATTGATCAAACACAGGAACAATGCCCAATTAAAAAAAATAAATTAATCACTTGTAAAACTCACCTTGACTCAAAATGCGGTAGCCAGAACTTCTCAGAGCTTACAACTTCATAAATGCAAAGAGCAAGCTGTCTCTCAGCAGGGGTCATATCAGGAATTCTTTAGCAAAAAAAACCCAGAGAGCTTTTGTATCAGGTAACTAGAGGCCAGAAGTACAACAGGAATAGAGCAATAGTGTTCTTCTGCATTTCTTCCTGGGGTAAATGCCAAACTATCCATATCTACAGCTGTGAGAAACTGCCATATAACAGGGAAATTGGCCGTATTATATTCTAAAGATATGTAGGTCAGGTTTTATAGAGTTTAAATGTTGTTTGTGAATTAGATTATAGTAATAAAAGATAGTGATGGAGAGGAACATTTGGAAAGCTTTGAAGAGGTTGTATAAAGGTTACAAAAATATTCTTGTAAGTTCAAAAAGCAAAGTGAACTTTCTTTTAAAACAAGTTGTTAATTTAGGGCTATTGCTGATGTAGGAGAAAGACCTCTCTTTAATCATAAATCCATTGAGAATGTGTTGGTATCCAAAAAATGTTAGAACTGAAACCATATTTAGCAATTGTAAATTACTAGGGAAGATTGATTCTCCCTTTGTTTATAATGATAAGCCCAAATTTGTTTGTTCTAAAGATATTTTTCAATTGGAAATGAGATAGTGCTCTTCAGGATCTAAAGCTGAAGCAGAGAAGTTGATGAGTGTCTTAATTGAGAATTTTCCTTGGTAGAATGTGGTGCTCTTCTGTGAAGAGCAAAAGGTGTAATTCTTTAGCAGTAAATGTTCTAATGTGTTTTGGATAAATAGTAATCCACCTTTAACCAGATGGGTGTGATGGCTCTCTGATTTCCATAAATCCTTATGTTTCTGAGTTTAAGGAAGTTAACCAATTTGCACATTTCATTCATTTAGTCCTAAATGAAGTCTTTGAAAGTTTGCAGATGATAAAATGCTTTTTAAAATATAGGTTTTTGTATAAAGCTTCTCAATTCACTTCCACCACATCAGAGACAGAAATATGAGCTAGGATGTTCAAAGTCTTATGTTCTCAGAAGTGTACCTTGGAGACATAAATGTTCACAAGCAGATTCAAACAGAGGTCCTCCCCTTTAAGACCATTTTCCCATGGACTTTCTGCGTAATAGAAATCAGAAAGAAGGTACTGATATTAAGAGTAGCTACATATCCATTTTTAAAGAAAATGAAAGGTAATTATGAAACAGCATACCTATGCCTTTATTTTCTCTTTCAGAGATTAGTTACAAATAGGTTTAGAAGAACTTTCCCTTTTAAAAAACGTAGATTTTGCCACAAAACTCCCCCCCCCGCCGCCCAGCACTTGCTTTCATTACTTGTAAAATTCAGTAAGGCAACACCACAGTGTAGCACATCCAAGAGCCACATCTTCAGTACAGGGTAAAATTCTGGGTTAAATGTTTCCCATGAAGACTAGCTCTTCAAATGATCCTTTGACATGTATATATTGTGATATATTATAAATGAGCTAACTTATCTAAGTGATGTTCAACAAAGGGAAGTGCAGGGTCCTGTGACTGGGGAGGAACAACCCCATGCACCAGTGTACACTGGGGGCACCCAGCTGGAAAACAGCTTTGCAGAAAGGAACTGGGTGTCCTGGGGAACAGCAAGCTGAACATGAGCCAACAACATGCCCTTGCAGGAGCAATGGCTAGTGGTATCCTGGGATGGATCAGGAGTATTGCCCACAGGTTGAGGGAAGTGATCCTTTTCCTCTAGTCAGCCCTGCTAAAGCCAAACCTGGAATATTATGCTCTGTTCTGGAGTGGTACAAGAACAAGGTGGTGCTACTGGAGAGAGTCTAGCAAATGGCCACAAAGATGATAAGGGGATTGGAGCATCTTTTGTATGAGGAAATGCTGAGAGAGCTGGGACTGTTCAGGGGAATCTTATCTATGTATATAGATACCTGAATAGAATGTGTAAAGAAGACGGAGCGACACTCTTTTCAGTGGTGCCCAGTGACAAGACAAGAGGCAGCGGGCACAAACTGAAACACAGGAGGTTCCATCTAAACCATGAGAACATGCTTTTTCACTATGAGGGTGACTGAGCACTGGCACAGGTTGCCCTGAGAGATTGAGTGTCTCCATCCTTGGAGATACTCAGAAGCCATCTGTGGACAGTGCTGGGCAACTGGCTCTATATGGACCTGCTTCAGCAGGGAGGCTGGACCACATGACCTCCAGAGGTTACTTTCAGCCTCAACTATTCTGTGATATATGCCTGGTTGTATTAGAGGTAGTAATCTACCAGTATTTTAGTGAAAATACAAGTAAAATCCTTGAGGACAGACATATCTCCACTGTTTCCTGCTAATTTGCTGGCATTCCTAAAAAGGTATTCAGTCTTCATAATTCATTGGGGGTGGATCAGATTCCAGTACTTTTAAGAATTGTGAGAGGTGAACCTACACATCCTGTTCTTCCAAATAAGCAATTACGTCACTTAACATTAGATTGTGATTGCTCAGCAAGAGGTTGGCAAACTCAAAGATGCCAGTCACCCAAATTAACTCTGCTGTAAATATACACTGTAAAGAACTAAAGCTATGTGAGGGATCAATGAATAACCAGCAAAACAATAAAAATAGTGCTTCAGATTGTGAGCTTGCAGTTACGTGCCAGAAAGACTGGTCCATCAAAGTGGACCCTGAACCTTAAAGTTTATTCCAAATACTGAACAACTAGTTGTGTACAACTTAGTGCACACGCAAGTCTAAACACTTGACAGAGGCAGTAATTCAATCACTGGATACACATTCAGTATCTTTCCATTTGTGGTCAAAGTCTTGGAAACCTTCTAGCCCAGGAGTTATATATACTGACAAGGAAGGACTCACAAAACAGGGTGCTCTGTCACAGTCAAAACAGCTGACTACTGAAGGACTTTATCCGGACTGTTTTGTGTGCACATACACATTGTGGATTCAAAGGAGGCGATCGGTCTCCACAGTTCTGGAGTGTCTCCAGGGTTAACTCCTGTCTGTTCCATTCAGATACTACAAAGCAGATTACTTAGCAGATACATCTTTTGAAAGGCATAGTAATGCTAATCATTTGTATTAACTAATTTCAGGAAATCGATACTCATATATCCACAGATTGTTTTTGTTACACCCTTTCTTTTTATATGTATTGACTTCTGCTCCCATAAGTTTAGGCAACAGGAGATGAAACAGAAAGATGAATTTAAGGCATTTTTCTCTCAAGGAAATGCAGCTATTCATAGTCCGTTCCATATGTGGAAGAAAAAAAAGATCTGACATTTTCAGTAAAATTTGAAACTGAAGGGCAAGAGTAAATCTTAGTGATTTATTGCCATACAAGTTTTTTACATGGGGTTTATTAAAGGAGAATATATTCCTAACTTTTCCATTTATATATAGGGGATTGTTGAAAGGTTTTCATTTTAAGTTCTGGAAGCACTACTCATTGTAGAGCCAAAAAAAGAAGGAATGTGACCCAGTTGCTAAGTAACACGTTTCAGTTACCTCCAGATTCTTCAGAGAAAGACTCATACTCAGAAGTCAAGACTAGGGCACAAAGAGAATGATCAGATTAAAACCTGACTAACTTCTAGCGCAAAAGAGCTTTTATCCTTTTACAGCAATTTGGAAAGCCTTTTACATGAAAAGTCTGTGTTAAATTGATTCAGTCATTTGTATCCCATCAGGAAGCATTTTACACTCAGCACTTTGAAAGAGAAGCAAGTAATCTAGAGAAGCCTTTAGTCTGGCTTGTGTTCATGACTCCTTATTTTTGTATCTACCTATGAAGATACTCCAAACAAAACTATTCTGGTTTTATTTCTTGGTGGGAAGAGAATCCCAGAATATTTAATATATATATGGCTTTCAACTACCTTCAGTTTATAAAACTTCTGGTTTGAGTCTTGCTGATAAGACAGATTTCTTACATTTAATTTTACTTTTGCATTTTCTAATTTACTTTCAGCAAGGAAGAGTTTGTAGAAATGTTTTGTTGAATATTGGCTTTTTTATTTTCAATTCAGGTATCAAGATTCAGTTCAGGAGTTAATTTTCTGTTCAAATATAGTAATTTTCTGTAAGTCTTTCAGTCAATAACAATGCCCTGAAGAAATGGTCATTCTAAAAGACCACTAGGAGTTGGAGAGTATCATGAAATCTACTTTAATGACTTGGTGCAGTAGAAGTAAATAAAGTCAGAGACTTACTGTCTCTCCTTTGAAAATAAATGCCTTGAGTTTTAGTTGGTTTTTATATAGCATGAGAATTCTCTCTCATATGACAGGTTTTGGTTCTATCAATACTTAATTGGATTTAAAAATTGAGGTTTTAATTTGATTTCATTAAAATTCAGATCTTTGTGACAATATAGTTGTTGAAAGTAAAAATATAGAAAGGAAGCATGGTGAGGAATATGGACCACACATCAAAGTAATGACAAATGTATTGATGAGTGTTCAGAAGTAAACATAAACTAATGAAATTGCCTCTTTCTACTTGGCATGAACTGTCTTATTAACAGGAAATAACCCTAACTGGAGGTTATCAACATGGGTCATATTCCCAAGTTCCACAACAAGAACATGTTGTTACAGTTTGGGATCCAAATAGAATAAATCTTTCTGTTTCATTTCCGTCTTTTATTACAGCTTTGTATCACATTTTATAAACCAGGGTAAATGTTAATATTGGCAATGTACAATGTTGGTGTCACAGCACAGGATTTGTTCTTTGTAAATATTTTTATAAAATATAGCCTATCCTTATCATCGTCGTGTTTCTATTATGGCAATTGGTGTTGAATTTTGTGTGTTCAGGAGAACTGCAGAGAATTGAAAGCATAATGGCTCCTCCAACCTGTGGCATGCAAGAACAGCATGGCTGACGCTGTACTTGGTTGCTTTTGACCCCTGAGTTTGGTGGATTTCGGTTTATAGCTGGTTTGACAGAGGTTTTTGTACTTTACTGGTCAACACAGCCTAAAAGTTCCCTGTGTAAAAATGCTGACCAGAAAATGGTTGTACAAAAATGATTGCAGGGAGTGATTCTGTGATCAGAAAACTCTTGTTATTTGTTCCAGGAAATCGAAAGGTTGGAAAGTAAATTAAATCAGAGCCCAGAAAGGTGGCAGCTTTTGTGGGAAAGA